ATGCAGCTGTGAAATCTGAACTGAAAAAGACATTTAATTTCAGCAAAGGGGTTAAAAGAAACAGAGGCGGAGTACTCCGGCCTTTGTTGTAGCAAAAACAATGATGAGAAGAGTCATACCGCGAAAATTTTCGAGATTTTCAGCAACCCTTCCCTATTTTCCACCTCTCCGTAATTATGACAAAGGTGGGTTGCCGGCAAACCCTCCAACACTTTGCCCCAAATCGACCTACAATTCAAACCTCAGATGGGTATTCACCCAAAATTACCTTCCTCCTCCCGAGTGGATAGAACCCTTCAATGACGTCTCCGGTTTGGTCTCCCCAGACCGACAAGATTTGCAGCCGTCGCCGTGGGTAAGCCAAATTCTCATTCTTTTGGATGGCTCTCCTGCAATGGAAGAAAATTTGAACTATTTTTGCCGCAAGTTCTTGATTAAGTTGTCTCCAAGCTTTGTGGCATTTGTTTTAAAATCTGTTCAGCTTCGAGATAAACTTGATATTGCTTTAAGGTTCTTTATATGGGCGGGTAAGCAAAAGAAGTACAACTATAATCTAGAGTGTTATGTTTCTCTGATTGATGTTTTAGCTTTGGCAAATGATTTGGAAAGATTGCAGTCTGTCTTCAGGGAACTTAGAGAAATGGGGTTTCTAATGACAGTCTCTGCTGCAAATTCTTTAATTAAGAGCTGCGGGGGACTTGGAATGGTTGAGGAGTTGTTGTGGGTGTGGCGTAAAATGAAAGAGAATGGAATTGAACCTAGTTTATATAGTTACAATTTTCTGCTAAATGGCTTGGTAAATTCAAAGTTTATTGAATCTTCAGAGCGGGTGTTTGAGGTTATGGCGAATGGTAATGTTGGACCAGATGTCGTGTCCTACAACACAATGATAAAAGGGTATTGTAAGGCAGGGAAGACCCAGAAAGCAATGGAAAAGTTTCGGGCCATGGAGGTGAGAAATGTTGAACCAGATAAAATTACTTACATGACTTTGATTCAGGTATGTTATTCTGAAGGGGATTTTGATGCTTGCTTGAGTTTATATAATGAAATGGGGGAGAGGGGATTGGAAGTTCCACCTCATGCATATAGTTTAGTTATTGGAGGGCTTTGTAAAGAAGGGAAATGTGATGAAGGCTATGCCCTTTTTGAGAATATGATTCAGAAGGGCCATAAAGGAAATGTAGCAATTTACACCTCCTTGATAGGTGCATATGCAAAATCTGGAAGCTTGGGAGAGGCAATAAAGCTATTTGAGAGAATGAAAACTGAGGGGCTTGAACCTGATGAAGTTGCTTATGGGGTTATTGTCAATGGTTTGTGTAAGATTGGAAGATTGGATGAGGCTGTGGGGTATTTTGAGTTTTGTAGAGACAAGGGTTTTGCAGTTAATGCCATGTTTTATTCTAGTCTCATTGATGGGATGGGGAAGGCTGGGAGGGTAGATGAAGCTGAGAAATTTTTTGAAGAGATGTCTGAGAAGGGGTGCACACCTGATTCGTATTGCTATAATGCCCTCATAGATGCCTTTGCAAAGTCTGGGAAGATCGATGAAGCATTAGGACAGTTTAAGAGGATGGAGGATGAAGGCTGTTATCAGACAGTTTATACATACACAATACTTATAAGTGGACTGTTTAAGGAGCATAGAAATGAAGAGGCATTAGAAATGTGGGATATGATGATCAACAAGGGTATAACACCAACTGCAGCTTCCTTTAGGGTTCTCTCCAAGGGACTTTGTCTTTCAGGCAAGGTAGCTCGTGCTTGTAAGATTTTGGATGATCTAGCACCAATGGGTGTTATTCCTGAGACAGCTTTTGAAGACATGATTAATGTCTTGTGCAAAGCTGGCCGTGTAAAGGAGGCTTGCCGGTTGGCTGATGGTATTGTTGATAGGGACAGAGAAATACCAGGAAGAATACGCACTCTTCTAATTAATGCCTTGAGAAGGTCAGGCAATGCAGACTTGGCAATGAAATTGATGCATAGTAAGATTGGCATTGGTTACAATAGAGTTGGTAGCATTAAAAAGCGAGTAAAATTCAGGGATCTTATTGAAAGTTGAGTTTTTTGCCAGATTTTTTTTATTTCTTTGCTTCTTGTTTCATTCAAAAGTGGCCCCCTTATATTATCACTTATGCATAAAGAGCTGATTGCAAGTCCCTCCTTCAGCCTTGCACTTTGTATAATCAATTTAATGGGAAAAGAGATTTCTTTAATTGCCAAGACCTTTACAAATATCACCAATCATTTGTTTGCTTGAGAAGATTGCAGACAGGTTTAGTCAGTTCCCTTCAGTTGCTGGAGACATCCATGTTGGTCTGCAGCTAATCTTTGGTTATGTTTCCAAGGTATGTTTTCAATCACCCTTAGAACAAGTAAAAATTTATTTCCAAGAAGAGCAGTTGTACAAAATATTCCTGCAAATGCAAAGACACATCTTTGTCAAACAGCCATGCATATCCTATGAATTGTGTCTTTGGAAAGATCCTGTAAATAATCTGTTGATTTAGCCATATGGATTCAAAACTAATTAATTTGCACTTATTGTGCAATTTCAGTTTTAGTAGTTTAGGTTTTCCTCTATGCACCATATCTATTTTCATTTTCAAGGGTGTTATCACAGTTTCTGAAAATCACTCTAAGTTTATTTATGTAGTTTGCTTAAGTTAGGCTATCCTTGGAGTCTTTAGGAGTTGAGATACTAGTAAGTTTTGGTTTAGTAGAATCCCAGTTGGTTATTTATTTATTATCAGTTAGTTTCTTAATCCTAGTGTGTCAAGGAATAGTCTCAAAGCCCCTATAACTGCCTTTTTTTTTTTTTTTATAATATCACAGCCTTTGATTGATGAGATTCTCAGTAATCCCTACAACCATCTTTCTACTATTCCCAGCAATCATTGTTCTTGTTTCCAGCCTAACTTTGGTCTCAGAATTAAACCAAACAATAATTCACTTCTACCCAATTGCATCTTGTACTACAGTTCAAATCCCCAAAATCCCTAATTCTCTTTAGCTGAAATCCAACACAAGCTTGTAGACAGATATCTCAAATACTGCATCATCTGTCCTTTAAATACCCCCATCGTAAAGTCTTTCTGAGGATTTTTATTTGAGAAAATTTGACTCAGATAAATTTTAGAAATTAAGTCCAGACCAAGCCAAATGTTATAATTAACTTCTAAGAAAATTATTTTTTTTTTTTCCCTTTAGTCTTTTGTTATTGTTTGTTTATTTACCTTTAATTTAAATTAAAGACTGTGCTAGAGTCATGTGATAAATCATTAGCTTTTGACAACTCTTGCAGTGCCTAAGAATAGCCATATTAAAAAAATTTGATTAGTCATATTGCTTTTCTTTCATATGGTGCCTTTGCAAAAGTTGAAGTCTCATCTTGTTGAAATTAAAAACTTCTTTTTGGCCAACTGAAATGGTGAAATTAATGAATTTAATACTGTCTTGCAACTGTCATATATTCCCTTTTATTGACTAATCAAGAAATACTTTTCTGTAAACAACTACTGGAGCCTTCATGATGCTTATTTTCTACTTTCTTCTTAGGGTCAACTCTATAATTAATAATTGATTGATATCATTATGACTTGCAGATGGAAACTTAAATTCTTCACATAAAATTTTGAGTACCATATGAACAATTAAGGTACATTAGAATTATATGAAGCACATGAGGTAGCCAATTGTTTACAGCCTTAGGGATGGTAATAGTCAAGCTGCTGAAGCTATGGAATAATATATGCTACTATGAGACTCTTAAACTAATAATAAACAATATTGGGCAAGCACTATATAGATTCCCTGTTGAATGAGATATTTTTTTTATTAAGATCTGACAAGATTTTGTTCCACTGTTTTATACCTAGTGCTGGTATGGATGGTTGTTCTTCTGACTATCTAGGGATTATTCATGAAGGCATGTCTATTTTCCTGGTGCCTCAAAAGCTTTTACTTGAATTATCAAAGTTTTTAGATCGTTTGAATTCCTACATGGATTTTGTGAATATTATGATAAAAATATAGAAACTCCTCAGAAGTTTTATTCTCTGTATCTCCTATAGCTTACTCTCAATTTATATGCTCTAATGATTATAAATGGGTTTTTGAAATATGGACATGGGTATGATGATTAACAATGAATCTTTTCACTTGTTGTAAGGCCTATTTCACATATTTCCTGCTTCCTAAATTGTGGAAAGCTTTTAGGAATCACGGGAAAGCTGCTTCTGAAACTTAAATCTCCATGACTGAAAACTGAAATCTCTAGCTAAATACATGTTGATTGACACTTAATATTATTTTGTTCTGAAACTTTTCTACTTATAACACAAGGAAGAGACTAGATTTACTTCCAAGGATAAAAACTCTAAAGCATCAGCTCAAGTACTGCTTGATGGCTTGGAGTTGGTGTAAGTCCTAATTTGACAATCAACAAGCATGGTAACATATGATGAATTTGAATATGCATTTTTTATCCTTGAAGTAAATATATATTTTTTATATAGAATGTCAAGAAAATGAAGAATTACATGATGATTTCATGACAGTTTTATTAGCTGCAGCACTCATGGATATTGATGGGCTGCATTTAGATATTTGAAAAAGTATCCCTTTGGGTAAACAAACGGAACAAAGTCAAGGACATTGGTGGAACTTCTTTCATAAGGTTGTTAAGGCACGTATCACGAAGGTAAAATCTAATTACCGTAAACCATAAGAAAATCTAATGATGCTATTATAAGCATTTCTTATGCTGTTGGTGGATGATCCTTTGTTAAAACTATATCTGGGCCATCTCAAATCAAGATTATGATATTTTGCTTAATTTAGAGCTTGCATAATAGATAAACATTCCATCCAGAAGAGTATAAGAGATAAGAAAAAGTTCAAAAAAAAAAAAAATAAAAAGAAGAAAAAACAAAGACAAAAACTGGGTAACTTTGATGTCACAACTTTGTTAAAAGGAGCATTGATGTAGCATAATAAGTGGACTGAATCACTCTGCCGCTTGCATTTTGGGTTATTTTTTCATTAAAAATGCACCTGTATTCTGAGTCATCTATTGTTGTGCTGCACAATTGAGGGATTGAATCTTTCAGCCACTTGTATCTCAGTTTTATTATTATTGTTGTTATTATTATTATCAAAAGCACCTATATTCTGAATCATCTATTGTTTTGCTGCATATTAGGGTATCTAGTTTCTTATTTTTTGTGTTAAAACTTACAAGTTTTTCTCTGAGGTTCTGATTCTGAGATGTGACTAGGTCTCCTTTGGCTTATAATCTATGCATGTTGTTTTTTTGCATTATGGTTTTCCTTTTCTTCTTTACTGTATATTCCTTTGCAGCACCATCTTCCATTGAGCTGTAACTTTTCTGTTTCAAACATGGACATGGCCATTGTTACAGAAAACCAATTAACCCTTTTCCCTTATCTTGTTTTCTGCAGTGACCCTCAATATTCCATTCAGTTGCGATCCTAGATAGATCACCTTTTTTGTTCACTTGGAAAGAAGGGACCTACTGGCCTCTCAATGTCATTGTACAACCAAGTCAGATACAAGTAATTGGCAAGTATTGGATGACTGATATTGCTCCATTGCAAATATTACCACCCCTATTTTGCATAAACCTTTTTCTTTCCTTTTGTCGTATAAAGTAATTGATCTGATTGAGGAATCTCAATATATATATATATATATATATATTTTATCAAAATGAAAAAATATATATTTTAACAAAACGAAAATATATATATTTTAACAAAACGAAAATTAGTAAATATTAAAGTAAATAGGGATTGGAGAAAAGGGATCCGTAGAGTTGGAACACGCAACCTATAAGAAGTGATTAGCATTAATTTAGGGTCTAAGCTACTAGACCAAAGCGTGGGGATCAATAATCTCAATATATGATCAATTTGCTTTTTGTTACAACAAATATTATTAGTTTTATGCATTTAACTGTTGGCAAAAGCTTACTTTTAGCCTCTCACCTTACCAAGTTTGAAAGTTTTAATCCCTCACTTTAATAACACTTTTTAGCTCCTCACTTTACTAGATTTATATGTTTTAGCCTATTATTTTATACTATGACATTTTTAGCCCCTCATTTTATGTTATGACATTTTTAGCCCCTTACCTATTAAAATTAAAAAAAATAATCCTCACTTTGTAATATTTTGTTAGTTCTGTTAGTTGACTGTTAGTTTTATCACCTGACTGTTAGTTTTATTACTTGATTGTTAGTTGTCTGAGTTAACAGAATTAACTTTATAATATTTCGTTCATTTTTAGATAACAGAGTTAATAGAATTAATTTTATAATATTTCGTTTATTTTGTTAACTTATTATTAGTTGATTGTTAATTAACAAAAATTTACTTTCAGCTAACAGAGTTAATAGTTTATATAAAGTGAGGGTTATTTTCTTCAATTTTAATAGGTGAGGGATTAAAACCTATAAATCTAGTAAGATAAAGGGTTAAAGTGTTATAGTATAAGATGAGGGGTTAAAACCTTTAAACTTAGTAAGGTGAGGGGCTAAAAATAGGTTTTTGCCTTTAATTGTCATGGTCCATGGTCCTCGGTACTGTCATCTGTTATGGTTGTCCCCTTATGTTATCCAAGTCTTTGATGCTCGTCAATTTCATTGCAAGTTGCATTGGTACTTTCTCTTTCACTGGTTCACAATATGGTCCACATAAGATTGAGAATGGTATCTATGCCCTATGCTATGCTCTGGCGGTGTTGATGAGCCCATTTTTCGTTCCAACTTGCTTTAACATGCCCTATCGTGCTGGCCGGTGCTTTTGTCTTGGAACAATATTTAGAGAATTAGAGGCGCGCAAAATGCTGGCAATTGGAGTTTTTGGCTTATTATTACCATTGTCAAGGACTGAGTGGTGATAAATGAAAAAAGACCTGTGTTCATTTTTCTTTAAATATATTTTCGTGACTATTCGTTTAACGATTTAGATTGGCGAAAAGGGTATATTTATGAAATGAAATCTATAATTTTTTTTTATTGAAATAAATTTCTACTCATACTTTTAAGTCAAATAAAATAAACTTTTTTACATTTTAGATGAAATAAATTAATTAAAATTTAACAGATAATATACTTATAAGTCATTATTCTAATGTTTCTCTTTCAATACATGTTAAGCTCTTATTAATTTGACAATTAATTTGGCAATTGTAGGCCTATTTTTCTAATGGTGTGCCATTTTCCTTTTTTAATAACAAGTTGACTATCAAGAAATAGTTAACCAATCTAATTTAACTACTTATAAAAAAAATTTGTAACATCGAAAAAAAAAAAAAAAAGGCCCAAGATTGTCAAAAATTAAAGTTAATGGGTATTACATGGAAAAGATGAAATGATGACATATAATTACGTTATTTGTTAACTTTTTTTGTTAAATAATTTCAATCGAAATATAGAATTAATTTAATTCAACTTGAAAGTTTGATGGGAGCTTTATTTCAAAAAAATATATACAGAGGTTTTATTCCAATAATCGATGAAAGTAGGGGGACAAATATACCATTTTGCCAATTTGAAATGAAGTCTCAGGTTCTGTTGCAAGCAATGTAATCATTCAAACCTAACTGATCGATGATTTGAATGCAATAGCATTAATTTAGATGGTGTAGTAGGCAGTAGTTATTTCCTGTCTCATTGATGAGGAAAAAGATTGATTTCTTATTCTTTCTCTTTCCACGCCTGAATCATATCATACAATTGGAAGTAATTTTTTCTTATGTCTTTAAGGTAATCTTTTCTTATGACTTTGTGTATTATGTCTTTGACGTCTAAAGTTGAACTTAAAACTTCATTTCATTGCATCTTAAACACATCTCCTGACTTTTTGTTGTCCTTAAATTTCAAACATCATCCTCAGTACTCTAAACCTTATATTTTCGACATCCTATAGAATTTATCTTCTGGTGAAATTTGCTTATAGTTTGGTAATCTATTGTCCACATTTCAGCAAAGACAATAACATCGTTAAACCTTCATATTCAATTTTTTTTTTATAACATAGATATGTAAGACCTTTAACTCAATCAATCTCAGAAGTACATGCCATCCTATTCAAGGGCACTACAGAAAGCTTCACCTTCGAGGGTGGTGGACAAGTACCTGCAAATCGCCCTATTCATAGGCACCAAGTAAAGGTTTACCTGTAAGTGATGGGCAAGACTCATTGAAATTATTTGCACCTAAATCCCAATAGAGGAACTCAAACTTGTATTCTCAGGCATAGTTCTCAACCACCCTTGTCACTTGAGCCAATTTCAATGGGTTCATTTACCAAAAAAAAAATTTCAATGGGTTCAAATTTAATATTTTGTCATATCGTATCACTTACATGTCTAATTTTTCCAGCTTTTCTTCTAGATTTGTTTTCTAGAGATTCTGGAAATCTGGCTTGAACATTATATACATAATTGTTGAGACCCTACCGGATCTCTAATACAGAAGTAGAAATATTTCATAATTGCGACTAGGATTCTTGAGAGGAAGAATTCAATAATTCAAATGGTTGTGGACCTCAATTTATTCAAGCTAATCAACAGCTGTAACTGGAATGATTATGAAGAAACACGTTGAAAGGAACCGTATCTATTTATGGCATTTGAGGACAACAGAGAAAGAAGAAGCAAGGACCACTCTTCATCAATGAGAACCACCACAGACAATGGGGAGAAAGAACCAACACATGCCTAGATTCTTCTTTTTTACAACTTCATTTGGGGCTATGTATTATTACTGGTACCTAACTTTCATACAAAAGATTTGGAGTGTTAATGAGCCAAACTTAGTGAAGTAGCTCAATACGCGAGTTCGAGCTCGATATTACAATAATGAACTTGGAGCTCGAGCTACTCACCAAATTTGAGGAAAAAAAATTAAATTAATAAAAATTTATGGAATTAAATGTATATAATTAATTTTTATTAAATTTGAGCTCACCTATTTTGCAATCTTTCAGCCATGCTCAACAAGCTATTTAAGCCCAAGTTTGACGTAAAACTCAAGCTTAATTACAACTTGAGCTTAAATCAAAGGTTGAGCTCAATGAGCTACTTGACTCATTTTACACCTGTACCCATTTCCTTAATTTAGCCTAATCTCTGAATGTTTACATTTATTGGGGGCAAGCCGGTGAATAAATTTATAATTTTTTTTATTATATATGAATCTCTGTGGGGACTTATGAGATGAGAAAAATTCTAAGAATCTTCATCCCCCGCACGGCACAAGGAAAATTGCTATCTCTAAACAATATGATACTAAATGAATGCATACAAATTCACAAACCTTGTGAAACTTAAAAAAAAAAAAAAAAAGAGTGGCTAACGACTAGTTATAGGTGCATCATTTTTCGTAAGCGTAAAAAGCTATAGTCCCTTATTTGGTCTAAGGAAAATAGGGAGAAGATAAGGAAAAGAAAGGGGAGATAATATCCCTCAATTTCCTTCCCTTTTCCACTCCCCCTCCCCCTCCCCACCATTTCCTACTTTAGTTATGCTAAGATTATTAAGGAAATTAAATAGAAATGTAACAACCTAGTCCAATATCAATATTGTTCGCTTTGACCCCTTGGGCCTCATCGTTTTAAAACACATCAATAGGGGTTAAAAGGTGTTGACTTATATATCATGTATCTCTCGCATGCATTATTAATGTGGGATTTGCCTAAGGATGTCATATACCACCCCTTTTGGGATTCAACACCCTTGTTGTGGTTTGCCCCACCATCATTCTAGAGGACACATGGAGTGGCTTTGATACTATATGCAACAACCTAACTTACTATCAATATGGTTCGCTTTGACACCTTGAGTCTCATGGTTTTAAAACACATTAATAGGGGTGATGCGCTCAAATTATCCTAATAAGTGTACTAGTCGCTCCAAATAATATAATGATTAGTAAAATATTGAACCCACGAGAATTGTGATTAATTAAATATCAAAATAATTAATCTAAATGTATTTAAACAATCGAAAAGAAACTAATGACCTAAATAGCTCAGTGGTCATCTTCTTCCACAGGAAGTAATAGGTCTTGAATTTAAGTTGCATAACATGCGAGTAGGGTGAAATATGGGATGGAAGATGGTTGCCTTTCATTGTGTAACCAAGATAAAAAAAAAAAACAATCGAAAAGAAAGAAACTTTAATTTAAAATAATAAAAAGAAAATAACAATTAAAATAAACCTAATCAAGATATGAGATATTAAGACATTGATTTCACTATTATAATCAATATAAATTCTGGATTAATATACTTTTAAAACCAATTTGTTAAGTATTATTGCATGTGTGGCACATTTTACTATATTAATTAACTAGTTTTCTCAAGTCAAATTAATTCTTCCCCTATTTGTTAAATTAATCATATCTCTATTAATTTTAAATAAATAGGTGAGCATTAAATTCTATGAAAACCTCTAGCTTAAAAAGTGAGAGCTCCTAACTCTTTTTTCTTTCTCTACTACCACATATGATGCTAATTATCTCTTGATTTCATAGTATAACACACGGTTTATATTATTATTAGTCTAATTTATACAATTCTTTCTCAAATTCATGCATAAATCAGTAAATCAATTGAAAGGGGATCAAGTTTTTAATGTATTAAATTGTAATATAAACT